ACGTTGGTAGCAAAATGTGAAATAGAAGTAAACTTATTCTCATACTCGACCACTGACATTTCACCTTTCTTAAGGTAATCAAATTGCATTTTCAACTCCTACTTCTTAGTCATTAAGAAGTACTTATCAAAGAAGATGTCATTTAAAGTTGACTAACTCATACTCAATATCATAAACACTCATCATAGTCTTCCACCATATCTTCGCATTATTGATGAACTTGTACATCGCTAAAGTGACCTTCAACCGATTACTCGACACATCGATTGCCCTAAAATGTTTTTCTACTTTTTCTAACCAATTGTCCGCTACCAATGGGGTTGGACCTACTTCAAACATCACCTTCATAAGATTATCAAACTGAACAATATATCAGAGATTTCTCTCCATCTCCGTCTCTTGTGGTTGAAGGATTGGCTGTTGTATCACTTATGGAATAGTGGCACGTACCAGCATCTGAAAAAATGAGGTCATAGTTTTTACTAATAAAGCTTCATCTACCAGTACTTATGGATCAGCATCCACCTTTACACCTTGGCCCTGCCCCAATGGAATCCTGTCAGGACTTTCCCTCATTAACTCTCTCGTTAAATCCATCCAGATCCATCTCTCCATGCCGTCCTTAAGCACGGTACTATAAAAGCAACAAGATAATCAAAATGACTTCATGCTATATAGCTTAATCCATGAGCTAGGGTACTCACATTACTCGTTCGATAGGAACTAGAATACTTATAGACTAAAAAATGGTCAAACTCGTCATATACATAGGTCTTAACCCTTTATAAACTAATACACACATAGCTAAACTTGTATATAAACACATCACAATTTAGCATGCTTAAACTCAATTATTACATCATTAATCTCAAAATTATTCGCACGTAAACATATAACAATTAAGCATGCTTTCAAACTCAATAAACAATAAACACTTAAGCATGTAATGCCTCCAATTCAAGTTCTGACATCCACTTAGGTTAACCCTACTTGTCATCCTTAGGTTTTCCAACCTAAGGCTCTGATAGCAAACTTGTAACTACCCGAACCCGGGAGTCCGAATCGCTAACCGGGTCCTTATTAGAATCCGAGGTCATTCGAGGGTAATATGGTCACTCCCACGGTTAAAATATAATTAATACACTTCATTAGGTCCCTAGGTACATGATTAGGTCATTGGATGGTAGAAAAATAGACAAAATGGGAACAAAACAACAAAGAGGGGGATACAAGACTCAGTCAACGCATGGAGGTCTGCAAATCAACTGAAGCAGGACTTTTGGTCGAAGTGAAGTCCTCGCACATCAACCGTAGGGACTTCAACAGTAATTTCACTACTATCTAAATTTTTGATATACTAGCAGAAGCCGGTGTCAACTGAAACTGCCCAGGTTTATGTACTTGGTCCATTTTGATATCCTTTTTGGCTCAATTGTGACATTGGGATTGACCATAAACCGGTCCCAAATGTTGTATAAAAATGGTAAATCAACATCTATATGAAATCACGAATCGTATGCCACAAATTCTCATTTTAAATTGAAAATTCATTAACGAAAATACCCATTCTTTCATTAAAATCATTTTAAGACATTCAATCTCAAAATAGCGACTTACTTGATAAATTACGTACAATTAATAAATCTTGTACCTTGCCATTTAAATGATTACAAATAATACAAGTTTATGTCCAAAACTTTATGAATATAACGTCAACAACAAAGGATGACAAAATAGAATCTATATCTACACCTAAGCTCGTAAGGACGTACCATCCACCACTTCTCTTCCACATCCTGAAAATATTTAAGATAAAAGGGTGAGCACCACCGCTCAGCAATGTATGCCTAAGGCATGGCTCCTAAAGCTAGGTGAACAAACACATAATGAAAAGAAGGTCAAGACAATTGATCATGCTTACACGGGGAAATAATTAAATCATCAACACATGAAATTAGCAATAATATATCGACACTACCAGATTCACGCACACAAGTCCATCTCAATACTATCAACACAATCAATGCTCATTATTTATGCTTATTGCCATGATTACTTCTTAACCAATCCCATGACCTCGTCCTAAATACAAATGCACTTTGTTGACCAATCCCACTCACTTCCACATATCCACAACAAAGACCACAAACTCCAAATGGTACAAGTCTACAACTCGTCCACCATTTAGAATACCTGCTAGCTATCCCTGGCTTAAGACCGCCACTCATCACCATTTGGGGCCTAGCTACCAAAATCTCAAAAATAAGGATACCGATTGTCTTCCGTTCATCACCAACATCTCTTAACTTGAAATCTCGTCCTTCTTACATCACCTTGTCTCCCACACATTTCCTACCCAATGTATGAGTAATGAATGCTCTCATGTATACTTCATTTGTCAACTAAATAATGGACCAACATTCTAGCTATCATCACAAAATGAGAGCACCATCAAATATTCACATAATCACATTACACATACATGCCTTTACAATATAAAATTTAACATTTTTTTTTCTCATATTCATTTTATCGACCACTTAGCATGCTTATAATAAAAAAGACTCATTTAAATCGTAATATACATAAGCTCTGCCATTTATACCAATCTCTTCATGATCATCATCTAGCTCATAAGTTAACACAATTCATATAATTAAAGCATTATTGTAAATCATTCATACAACCAACTTAACATGTTACCGCATAATTTTTATCTTACAAAGCATGCCAACACTTTTTTTCCATATTGGTATGTAATTTCACACATTTAAACATTACATATTCAAAGCAATCACTTGAGATTTTACAAAACCAATCAAGTTACTACAACATGGTATCCATACCATGCAAAAACATATAATTAACACAAAAGGACTCACAAAACACCAAGGAATCCATAAATTAGACACCCCTGTCTTAAATAAGGATGAAAATTCTAATTCCACCAAACCCAAAATGCCACCCTTGCGAAACTAACTTCGTATGGTGAAAGAGGAGGTGAAGGAGAGCAACTAATCCTCTTGGAGCCGCCCCAAAATCCCAACCATGCCTTCACCCAAAATCTCCAAAATTCTCCAAATTGAAACCCGAAACCATAAGCTCAAGCTTTCGTCGCACTCATCAAACTTCCCTTGTATGGCGTCAACAAAATCTCACCTGAGCTAGATAATTTCACATGTTAAAGCCTGTAAAATGAATAGTGGAACAAAGGGGTAGAGAGAGAGGGAGACGGCTGAAAGGAGGAAGAAAGAATGAAAATTATGGCAAATAATGTTCTAAGTCCTCCTTTTATAGTGCTAGTCAAACTATGAGTCCCGCTTCCCACTTAATTGCTTAAAATAGTCCGTTTAAATCTCGAACACCCGTAAATCATGCAACATTGTGTAAAACGAATATCCCAAACATAAATGAAATAAACAATGATGTCCAGAAATTTTTCGAACATGAAAATTCCATCGTGGGGCCAACCCGTCAACCCCCCCGGCACAAATACCGAAAATGACCGAAATGAACCCCAAATGAGTTGCTAAGGGTTCTATAATCGACGAAACATCCCAAACAACTCCTGGAACAACGTGGCATGACACAAATAAAATAAATAAAAATGCCTGAAAAATATTGTAAAAATCCAAGAGGTCACATATCAGGCGCCTCATATGATTTTCAAGTTGTTTTTAGACACTTTTGAGGGTCTTTTTTCCTTAGAAGATTCATTAGGGCATTCCATGATTATAAATGAAGTATATGACCTATATCTAGAATGTGTGAGGATCAAGAATATGTATATATGTGAATTTAATGCATGATCTTAAACACTCACCAACCTATTTACCCCTTTTCTTCAAGCTTTGGAAATGTTCTTTTATCATTGAGTCTTCTTCCTTGATTTTTTGAATTGTTTATTTATTTTTTACCTTTGAGATAAATTCATAATTCTTGAGGTCTTTGGTCAATCTTGAATGTTTTCTTGCTTTGACTAATGCAAATTAGAGTCCCTTTCATGTGCATTGCTTCACCATTGATGTGATAATAGTTATTTGAATATTGCTTGAGATCATGCTTGGACATTTGACATTTCTATCACAAAACTCAATATAGATATTAGTGAACAAAATACTATTTATGGTTTGTTGTTATCAAAATTACTAGATTATTCGTAGGAGAAATCCATTAGGTCAAAATTTAGTGTATATGTATATCATCTATCACTAACCTTAAAGGAGATTGATTGCTTCAATTGGAAAAAAAATATATATATGGTTTTCATCTTTACATCAACATTGAAACTTTTTGAGAGATATTTCAAAGCAATCTGATTATTTATCTGTGAGAGCACACACTTAAACATGCGTGATTAGGATGATATTCTTTTACTAATCAACATAGATGTGGCTTCGGTCGCACTTTGAAGGGATTAAGGTATTCATGGAATGCTTGTTGATCTAGCAGCTATCATTCTACATGAATCAAGTAAGTAAGCCTGAAGTCAAGTATGGTTGAACGGGAGAGTTGCAAAGCCAAAGACGTTCAACAATTGGTTCTTAGTAAAGTGAAAGGGTGTGAATCTCAGTCATAGTTCATTGTACTTTTCTTCAACAATGGTGGATCATTCCGCTGGAGGCTGTGAAAGTCTCCGTGATTGTCATCCCGGTAGGTAGAATTTCTTTCAACAATGGTTTCCATACTAAAAAACCGGGTGTCATCTCTCAAACTCAACTCTATTTTCTTTACCTTATTGTTTATAATTTTGTGAGTGTGGATGTTTAATTGATAATCATTGTGGGTAATTAATCAATCACAAAAATTGGGCAAGTTAACCTATCCACGCCCCTACTGTTTACGACTCGGTCAACAAAGCAACTTCCACACCGCGCTACTCACACTTGAGAAACTACAGTTTAGCTAGCATCATCAAATGGCTCTCAAGCTGTTAAAAGTTTGCACAAAGTTATGTTATTTGCATTTCATCAAGTTTCTTATCGCATGCTTTTACCCCTGCAATGCATTATTTGGTTTACTCTTACACCTGCAAGTCTTAAAAAAGTGGTCAAGAAAATATTGAAATGTAAATACACAATTGCTTATTCTTACATCCAAAATGTTTTTTTTTTTTTTAATTAACCGTTGCAAACTATTTGTTATTTAATTCTATTTTAAAGAGAATGTGAATGCAGTCAAGTCCATAGAAAAATTACTGATATTTCTTTCATCATTTTCATACTTTTTTTTTTTTTTTTTCCTTCAAACATATCTGAATCACAGCAAACTATAAAGCTAGTAGTAGAATAGGAATCAATGAGGAAAGAAAGGGAAGGAAAAAATGTCTAAAGTCTGTCCAAACACCACATCTTTTATTTTGCATAATGTAGTTTCTTCTTTGATTTCTTTAGAAAATTTCATACACCCATATTATTGTGTTCCAAAAGACAGCTTTTATCCGTGGGTGAGTCAGAATCGGGAACTTCACTCTGTTCCAATATATTCATTTCTTGAGCTTTCCCCCACATCACAGAATAGAAACCAAGAGCTATTATGGCTGCTCCAATTATGCTGCATTCAAGTCAAAAAAATTTGTCAATTCATGGATCCTTACAAGAATGTAACATTTTTTCTTCACTTTTTATGCTTCAATATATATATATATATATATATATATATATATAGTGCAATGATACATCCTAGAGAATGGGAATTATGTGTGTGGGGACGTTCTCCCCACCACATGAAACATAAAAGAAAAAAATTATGATATACATCTTGGAATTTGGAAAATGTACCATTTTTCATAAAAATAAAAATAAAAATAAAAATTGCATTGTAGAGAATCTCACCTCCCAAAATGGAGACAATCCCCAAGAAAAATAACTTCCAGTACAAATGCAATGATCATCCCAAGTGGCTTAAACATTGTAACAAAGACAGGTCCTTTCTTGTGCAAAACCCATGTAATAACAACTCCCTTAATTGCAAGCACCAAAATTCCCTAGAAATTGAGCATGATGCCAAACTGTAAGTCATACCATTTCTGCAAGACATGCTCATTAGAGACACAACTACAAATCCCGGAATCAAAATAGGACCGAAAAGCGCGGGTTTTTTCTATACTTACGTAGTATCCAATTGTTACCAATTGCATATCAAGTCCTAGCTTCCAAACATTTAAGTCCCTTTCTGCAATCAGAGCAACTATGACTGATTGGATTGTCACAAAGAAGCAGGCATTCAGTGATATCATCAGGCCTGCAGGGTAGTCCATAACAATCCAGGTCTGGAAGAGTTTGAAAATCAGATTATTGTTTTGTTTTGGACAAGTCTTGACTAGCTACAAGGAGACTGTTAAATAGAAATGCACAATTTTTTCGACAGTGTCTAGCTACCTGGACAATGCACGACGATGCAACCATGACACTGGCAATTGCAAGGAGAAAACCTCCAATGATCCAATTTGATTGCGGCAACGGGGAAATCAGAGGAAGTACTTCAGATGGTGATTCATGAGAGAGCAGGATCTCTGGGCCTTTGTAGAAAGTAACAATGAATGCCCCTACAACTGATATTATGGCCCCAATGGACTTGGCCAGGCTGCTCTTCAATTTGAACTCTAGCTTTTCCATTCTAAGACCACACATTAGATTCAACTCAGAATATATTATATTTGGATTTTTTATTTTTATTTTATTATTATTATTTTTTTAACATTCCTTTAAATGTAAACTTCTAAAAATAAGGATTTTAGGGACGACATGTTTATATACCGGAATCAATTAGTAATTTGGAATCAAGATCCTCTTGTGTGTCATTTTCGTCCTTTGTCTGTCTTGTGCCTAGTGCAACAATCTTTCTTCGTAAGCACAACAATTTTATATCGATAATGCAACAATTATGTAAATGGGATTTAGGGGAAAAAAAATAATAATAATAACAACATAAATGGGTTAAATTCCTGGGTTATAACATTGAAACATGAGGTAATATGCTACATGAATATTGTATCTTTGAGATGTGTTGCATTGTGATGTAGTTGTGTTGGACCGATGCTCAAGTTAATTATTTTGAAATTTATTTATAGAAACCGTTTATGCTAAAATCCAAAATTCTTAGTCCCCACATATTTTCAATTCCAAGACAATTCAATTCTATGCAATGAAACAAAATTAGGAAATTTACAAAATTCTTGGGGATGGCTGATGGCATGGTCCTCTTGGTCCCCACATAGTTCCCCTGCGCTAGACTACAACCTTGGTAAATTCTTCATATCTAAAGATGAGTCTAATTTGATCCATTAAAAACTAAGATGAGTAATAATCTAAAGGTTGATGATAGAAAATTAATAATAATAATAATAATAATAAATTCATGGATATATATAAAAACACATGAAGACTAACAATGTTACAAGTAGGTGACAAATTTGAAGGTGGAGAAAATGAGTATTGAAAAAAAGCACCACATACCTTGTGACACTGGCAAATATAAAGGTAAAGCCTGGGACGAGAGCAACCATTGCTGAGGCCAGAGTTGGAGAACTATACTCAATCCCCATACATATGCAAATCTGCGCAGAATAACTGAGACCCACCCTCGGTAGTAAACAATTGCAACGAATATAAAAAGTGTGTTTAAATACTTACCTCAATAAAAATAATAATAATAATAAAATTAAAAATACTTTTTAGATTTTTTTATTTTATTTTATTTTTTTAATTTCCTTTTAAAGCCAAAGGGTTTTATCCTTCGATAAAGTGGATGAGACCACATTAGAGAAATGGATTAAAATATAAAACATTCTAGCAATTAAGATATAATTGAGTGGGGAGTAAAAGTACCTGAGGAAGGCAAGAATAAAGATTCTAGAGACAATAGAGAACGTGAGTTGAGGACATGGTCTTATTCTGTTGATGAACATATAAAAACATCAATTTAGATTAATGTCTCTCACACACACACACACATATATATATATAAAGAGAGAGAAGGGGGTTATATCTAGAAATTAAAGAAATGAAATGAGACCTGTGAAAAACGAAAGTTGAAGGAAGAAGGAAGAGAAAGGCGATGGCATTGGAATACACAACAAAAACGAAGTTATTCATTCCTCTTCTCATGGCTGCTTTGCTTAAAGTGGTCATGCCCATCTCCAAGCACTCCAGTGACACCATTACTGCAATGATCCCTGAAGCCCACATCACAGCCTTGTCTATCTCTCTCTCTCCCTCTATCTCCCCCCTTTCTGTGCGTACGTGCGTGTGCCTCTCTGCGTGTTTCGTAACTGGTTGTGTTTGTTGTGGTACTGTTTACTATTTGATACGTAGTAATTCTTAAACTTGGACAAGTGCAAACGATTTATGCATGACGTACTGAACTTAGGGAAGGACACGAGTGCCTAAGTTGCAGCATGGAACAAAATGGAGCCCACACGTTGCAGCATCGGCAGAAAATATGGGACCCGATAACTACCCTCAATGACTCGCTTTGTTAAATATTTATCTTAATCATTAATTGCAATATTGACTAGCTTTTATACTACCTCTCTCTCTCTCTCTCCTCTCCTGTTTAACGAACCGTGACTTATAATTTTTTGTGAGTCTGGGTTCTCTAAATAAGACATCTATTTTAAGTTAGAGGGAATAATTTTTTTAAAAGGATAAATTCACTATTTTAATATTTATTTTAATTATTAATTGTAATATTAATTGATTTTTATTATAAATCGATAAGTTTACCATTTTTCTTCTGTTGAATCATGAATGTTATAAAAAAAAAATTGTTCCCCTCGGGGGATGGTATTCATCCTCCCATAATCCCAGCTGATGTTCTAATACAATTTAAGAACTGACGTAAAAATAATTTTTTTTAAAATTGGGCATTACACATCTCTTTATGTGTTAAACTAATTTTTTATTTTTATTTTTTAATCATGGAGTCTTTGTTTGGATATATATGAGAGAAATGAAAGGAAATGATAACATTAGTTATGAAAAGAAAACAGAAAAGAAAAAAATATAACAATAATTTCTATTCTTGTTTAGGTAATATAAAGTAAAGAAAATAGAGGATAACAATTAAATTATTATCATAACTTTTTTGCAGAGAAAATAGAGGATAACAATCAAATTATTATCATAACTTTTTTGTAAAATGTTATAAGATATGAGTCAAATCTTAAAATATGGTAATTTTTATTAAAATACCACTTAACCCATTATCCTTTCTCTCTTTTATCATTTTTAAAGGGATATCATATGAGGGATTTGGAGAGATAGTTATTCCTCAAAATCCTTCCATAGTCTCTCTTTTCTGTCCGGCCACTAAAATCATCCAAACACACTTTTTCTTATCCATTCTCTTCTTTACTTTTTATATCCCTCAAAATCACCCCATCCAAACCGAGCATTAAAGGAAGAAGAATGGGTAATTATTAGAATTTGAGAAAAACAGATCCAATTGCTTCATAATTCTACTTGGAATAAGGCAGACATCACAAATTAAAATCAGGGACGGATCTACTGTGCGCTTAGTGAGGGCATCCGATGTAAAAATAAAAAATTTCAAAATTGGGCATTACATATCTCCTTATGTGTTAAACCAATTTTTATTTTGTATCACGGTGTCTTTGTTTGGATACACATGAGAGAAATGAAAGGAAATAATAGCATTAGTTATGAGAGAAGAGAAGAGAAAATAAAAGAAAGGATAGCAATAATTTATATTCTTGTTTAGAAAATATAGAGGAGAGAAAATAGAGGATAACAATCAAATTATTATCATAACTTTTTTGGAAAATGTTATAAGATAGAAGTCAAATCTTAAAATATGGTAGTTTTAGGATTATGAAAATATTACTTAACCTATTATCCTTTCCCCCCGTTATCATTTTTGGAGTGATATCATTTCAAGGATTTGGAGGGATATTCCATATCCTTCCATAGTCTCTCTTTTCTCTCCAATAAAGCCATCCAAACACACTTTTTCTTATCCATTATTATCTTCACTCTTTATATCCCTCCAAATCACCCCATCCAAACTGAGCATTGGGCGACCAGTCGCCCTAATTGGGCGACTGGTCTCAGGGAAGGCAACGTTCTGCCCATTTTTACTTTTTTGCTCAAGATTTAGGCTATTTGGCTTGGTGACCAGTCGCCAAGCCCAAGCTACAGATGAGCGACCAGTTACCCATTCCAAGTGGCCTGGATCAACTTCTTCTTCTAATATTGGTTTTCTGACTTGATGAACTTGTTTTCCCTTTGGCTCGGAATTGAGTATGGATTTGGTCAAAGTACTTAAAGTCTTTATCAGGAACTCTCTTGGATAGATGCATCGCTTGAAGTCCTAAAATTCCTGATTTAACTCAATTTTGAGGATAAATACCTAAAAAAAACAAAAACATATAAATGGCATAAAATAACAAATAAATAAAACTATCTAACTAACATACATAAATAAAAGGGGCTTGAATATGCAATATTCAACGCTTATCATAGATCACATACCTCCATTCATGAAATCAGTTTTGTTAATGACTATAAAACAAAGTGAGAAATCCTCAAGATGTTCATGCCTGTACAAGTCTTTATGCGTGCACTTGATGGAGGCAACACAGACTCTGCTACTTGTTAGCCATGAGACATTTTCAAGGAAAACGTATGGATAAATTTGGAGAGAGCAATCCATCATGTAAACCATTTCCTTTATTCTAATTCAAAATGGTGGTTATAAAACCATTCAACTTCCTTTATTTTGATTCAAAATGGTAGTAATAAATCACTTGTAACTTCCCAAATCACATTTTTTTCTTAACTTCCCAAAAATATAAGGGATATGTTAGAATGCCAGACTATATAGGATGTTAGAATGTTAATTCAGTGTGGCAATAACACTTGATAATTCTGAACTCACTCTTTAAAAACAAAGAACTTTATCCACCTGTTTGAACTCCCTTTTGCATTGTTGTTACAGAAACAAAGAGCGGTGAATTATCACAATAGATTCTCAATGACCTGGAGATAGAATCCAAAAATTTAAGGCATGTAATAAAATTCCACAACTATGAGGCATATCCCATAGCCTCATGACATGCTACGTGTTCTGCCTCCATAGTAGAAGAAGTGACTGAATTTTGTTTTATGCTTTTTCACAAAATTACTCCTCCTGTAAAAAAGAATATATATATCCCGATGTTGACCTTCTAAAGTCAATACATCCTCCAAAATAAGAATTATAATATCCAATTGTAATGACCCAAATCCAGTGGATCCAAGTCATTAACGGGTGGTGATCCGATTGTAGGTTCTTACCTAAACTTGAGGACAAACTAAGGGTAAAATGGTCATTTTTACCTTGGGTGGAGTGTGATTTGACTCTAAATAAGTCAAATTGGGTCAATTCTAGTTACATTAACCAATTAAACCCATTCTACGAGGTCTCAGTAGCTATAGATGTGGTTTCCCACAAATAAGCCTTTTCAACTTAGGAGATTCCTAGAACAATCTATACTAAAATATGATACCCCGTGATTTCGGAGACACGATTTAATTAATTCCATACTCAAATACCAAGGGATATCAAAACAATTAAAGTATTTAAACAAGTACAAATTACAAAATGAAATAAAAAGAATAAATAATACGCTCAAGAAAAACTAATAAATAATAATTTCATTAATTAATAATCTTCCAAAGGTTACAACTCAAGAATTCCGTAACTCAAGGACCCCTTAACCAAAATCCACTATCCAGAAATCCATAAATAAAAACTAAAGTCAAATGGCACAATAATATCCTACTTTGAAATAAACAATAGTACATGATAGATAAGCCTCTAAGCTACGGATCCTCAACCTCGAGACTTGAACCGCTAAGAACCTGAAAGATAAAAATAATGGTGGGTTAAAACTCACGAGCAAGCTCCCTTTACTAAGCCTCTAAAGACTGATAAATAGATCATTTCTAACCAAAACCAATCCTAATAAAATTTTATCCTAACTTACAATACACAACATCAAACATAGTGAATAAATAAATTCCTCAAATCCCAAAACATAAATAACAATACATATATATATATATATATATATATATATATATATATATTATGGTCATAACTTCCTCTATGGTTAGAGTTATTAAATGGGATTGGTATCATTGGAAATCTTACTTTAAGGAGGTCAATTGGGGCTCAACAATGACCCTATTTAGGTTAGAAAATAATGAGATATGATCGATTGAAATTTGGGTAGCAAAGTAAGAGGGTGAATAATGGGGAGCTTGAGATTTCCCTTAAGATCTTGAGCTTTCCCAGTATCATGAAAACAATTATCGGTATCTTGGATTGAGCTCAATCTTTGGCCTTGGCAGCTCGAGCATAAGCCTGAAAATGGCACTTTTTAGTGCAGAAGTCCATAAATTGCTTCCCTAAACCAAATAGGGTCTTTAAGAGGATCTAAAACCTGTCCCAACTCACATTCATGAATAATAAAATACCAACATACATTCATATACATGAAATTATCAAAATAAATACATTGACCTACATAGAACTCCTCCAAAATCATCCATTTACATTAATTATGCCATTAGAAATTAATGTGGCTAAAAACATGCCCAAATATATAGTTGTCCAAAAGATTGTGGTTACATGAATAAGACCACTAAGTCCATAAATACAATGATTATATGCAAAATATGGTCATCTATACTAACTAGTGACAATGCAAGAGAGTCAAAAAGGGCATCAATCTACATCTATTCCTGTAGAGGCACATCGTCTACTACTTCGTTCCCTCGACCTGAAAATATTAAAATATAGGGGTGAGTATGACGACTCAGTAGAAAAATCCTTATATAACATCTCCTCAAGTTGAGTAAGTAAACACAGAGCAACTTATAAGAAATGTAGTGAGGAGAAGGGTCATGCTCAGGGATAATATAACACAATTCATTTCTCTCACAAGATACGATCATTTTCGTAAGAATAAAATGCATGAAATGTTATGGGATATTCGCATACCACATGCACAATACCGAGTTTTGAAAATCCTTTTCACCAAACTTCGAAATTCAATTTTTATCCTCACATATCAACATACACCCTTGCCACGATATGAAAAATGCAATGAGGATGATCACCATTATACTCAAAGTACTCACCTTTCCCATCAATTTATAATTCTACAGGACCACAAGCATAT